TTGATCTTTACACTTTTAATTTCCATATACTAGCCTTTTTTTCTTTATTTTTATTTTTATTTTTTATTTTTTTTTTGTTAATATAGTACTATGGTATGTTTAGTGAATGATCTGTTCGTATTATGAACTTCTTAGTTTTGTTCAACTCCAACTTCAACCTTGTGATTGGCATTAAACTTTCTTGGTTTTTTTTGCTTGCAGGATGAACAGTACGATGTTATCGTTCTCGGAACTGGCTTAACTGAATGTATTCTCTCTGGCTTATTATCTGTTGAAGGAAAAAAGGTCCTTCATATGGATAGGAACGACTATTATGGTGGTGAAAGTGCCAGCTTAAACTTGACACAGGTAAAGACCAATAAAAAAGTCATCAACTCATATGACGTCAGTTTGATAAATTTTATCGGGAAATATTTAGAAACTTTATGATTTGACCTTCTTACCGTTAAAATGTAGTGATGATAATATATATAAATGACAATTTTTTATTGTAATTTATGTCAAATCTTTTCTTTTATTGATATACACGTTAAAAGGAATTGGGCTCTTTTTTTTTTTTTTGAATATGTTACTTTTTAACGATTAAACTTCAGTTTTGTCCCCTTTTGTATAGCTTTATCGAAAATTCCGTAATGGGCAAGAACCACCTAGTGAATTGGGACGTGATCGCGATTATAATATCGATCTCATTCCCAAATTTATGATGGCCAATGGAGAACTTGTCAAAATTCTTACTCATACCGATGTTACACGTTACCTTGAATTCAAACAAATTTCTGGCTCTTATGTATATCGTGAAGGACAAATCTCTAAAGTTCCAGCTAGCGAAGGGGAAGCTCTTCGCAGCGATTTGATGGGAATGTTTGAGAAGAGAAGAGCAAAGAAATTCTTCGAGTATATGCAAAACTGGCGGGAGGATGATCCATCTACTCACCAAGGTAATAATTACTTTTATAATAACGTCAACTACTAAGATAAAATATTTCAATGATGACATATGAACTAATATAATCTTTCTTTTCTTAAAAGGCATCGATCTAAACGTTGAACCAATGTCTAAAGTCTATGAAAAATTTGGTCTTGAACCTGGAACTCAAGATTTTATTGGCCATGCGATGGCTTTATACTTGGATGAATCGTATGTGAAATTTGAAAATTTTCTATTTTCTCATATTATTACTTGGTATATTAAACATTTACACCTTTAGCTACCTTAACCGACCTGCTCGAGAAAGTTATAACAGAATCATTCTTTATATTTCCTCTGTGGCTCGTTATGGAAAGAGCCCTTACATTTATCCATTGTACGGTTTGGGTGAATTGCCTCAAGGTTTTGCACGGTACGAATTTCTTTATATATCACCGATTATAAATTATAAAGTATAAAATTATATCTGATATTTATATTTGACTGTGTCTTATATTCACTCTTGTTTTCACAGGCTGAGTGCTATTTATGGTGGTACTTATATGCTCGATAAAGCGGTCGATGAAATCGTCTATGGTGCAGATGGCCGTGTTTGTGGTGTACGTTCGGGTGACGAGGTAATACATGCTTAAATGAATTTGTGATTGCATACTTAATAACCCATTTGTAATCCTACATCCTAATTGAAATTTTTTGCTTTAATTATAGGTTGCTAAGACAAAACAAGTTATCGGTGATCCGTCCTATTTTAAAACTAAAGTCCGTAAAGTCGGAAAAGTTATCCGCGCTATCTGCATTCTAAAACATCCTATACCTAACACTGATAACGTGGACTCTATTCAATTAGTGATTCCACAAAACCAAGTCAAAAGGCAACATGGTCAGATAAACTTATTCATAAATTATAAAATTTATTATTTGTTTTTCTAACCATATATACTTAACGTTTTTTATAAATTTATAGATATTTATATTGCTAGTGTATCTGATAATCATTTTGTTTGTGCTAAAGACTACTACCTTGCTATTGTATCCACCATTGTCGAAACAGATGATCCAGAGTCTGAAATTAAACCTGGTCTTGACTTACTTGGTCCAATTGTTGAGAAGTAATATTTGCAATCTAATCTACTGTACAGTAGTTGCGTTACACACCCATTCATTAATCCTACTTTCGATTATTATTTGAAACTACAATAACAGATTTATAAGTTTGTGTGATCTCGAGGAACCTACTGAAGATGGATGTAAGGACCAAGTTTTTATCTCCCGTTCCTATGACGCCACTTCTCACTTTGGTACCGTGTGCGATGATGTCAAAAAAAAAATAAAAAATAAAAATAAAAATAAAGAAAAAAAGGCTAGTATATGGAAATTAAAAGTGTAAAGATCAA